ACGATCTTAACAAAGATGAAAATAAAATTTAATTGATCATAAAAAATTTTCTAAATCAATTAATCCAATTTTGAAAATAACATCCTTTATGCTAATTTTTTATATCGACTTTATCATCATTAAAGTCTACAAATTAAATTAGGCGTGACCTTAATAAATAATTAGTCTTAGCACTAAAAAGAAATAAATTATATGTTGCACGTTGTCAAAACTGCTTTTCACCATTAAATGTAATTCAGGTAGGAGACCATTGACTAATTTTCTTGCTTTCATTGCAGCTGGATAATTAAAAGCTAAAGCTTCAATCCTTCGGTATAGTTCTTGTAAAGCACATACATAGCCATAATGATTTCGAAAAACATATGCCTTATTTAAAAACTAATTATTTCAAAAAAAAAAATATCACTTTAAATTAAAGGACAAAATATTGCTTTTGTATTTAAATCAAGGAATTTTAACAGTGCATAATTGATAGCGCCTATGCTTAATGTGACACGTAGTTTTAATTTTAAAAATGAGTGACGTGATGTGACTGTTTATTATCGAAATCATGTGCCTGATGGTTACTTCAATTTCTGTAACATGATTTTGGAGATTAATCTGGGGGTGAAAAATTTGCAATATACCCTAAATAAAATCCAAACCTTTTTGCAGATCATAACCCAACCAGAATTACCATACGAAGAAAATTCGCTCATGAACGTAGATAAATATAGGAATATAAATTCTGAGATCAGTTTAAAAATGAAGGATCGAGAAAAAAAAATCCTCAACTGCCTTGCATTTTCGTATGGTCCTCTAGTAATTAGTTGCCAAAATATTGGATGATTTTTCTTAGTGATAGTAGCGAAGGGTTATATTTTATCTGTTTAATTGGTTAAAAACCCAAGAAACATGGATATCATAGCAGTTTTTCTAAATGAATAGATAATAAAAATAAAATACTGACAAATAGACTATTAGACATAGCTCTGCATTTTATACATCGCAAAAAGAAATTTAGAATTATATTTGAAAAAAACCTGTAAATAGCAATTGGGATCATCTTAATCATTTTTTTAAACATATAGAATTGTAAAATAGAGGAGCACTATATACACATTCAATACTTTGGGTTAAAAAAAGTATAACAGAAATAATAACAGAAAATCTAATTAGATCTGATTTACCAAATCAAAACTTTGAATCAGAACTTTACTAATTAGTATTAACATATTAAATTCATATATATAATTCTAGAAAGTGTGGTTGACTAATACTTCTAGATCAAACTTGCAAAAAATACTTTTCTTGATCATATTTTTCAATTACATATTATAATACTAAAGAATCTAAATATATATATTGATATATAACTGAAAAGGATAGATGGGTAGTTCCTTATCATCTACTTATACTTTTATTATGAAATACTCATATAAATATATAATATATAAGTATTAAAAATCTTGGTAAATATTTAACCAAATATATTGTCAAATCAGAATCTTCATATATATTTAATATATCAGAAGGTGATAAGTATTGTGAGCATATAATTGTTTAATAATTAAGTTCAATGAAATGTATGTTTTTATTACTTAGTGAAACAATATACAAATCATCAGTAAAGTAAAATACCTACTTATTGAACTACCAATAACTTGTTCACGTGCAATAAGACTAATATCAATAATATTAGAAGATGATGATGATCTATATTGAAAAGACACAATTGAAAAATACTTTGTATGTTCATATAATAAATAATTTAATAATATTAATTATCCTGATTATTTTAAAATTATACATTATCAACCAAAATATCTTAAAATAATGAAATTTACAAAATGATTTAAACTACTTTTTACAATACATTGCAAATCAGAAGATAAATTACTTGGTAATTTTACATCCTATTAAGAAAAATATTTAAATTTACATCCAGATTTTCAGAATTGAATTTAAAATTCTATAAATATAATAGTAAAAGAAAAAGATATTCATTACAAAATACAATTTAACACAATTATAACAAACATATTAAAAAATCTTGAAAGTAAAATCACTTCACAAATATCAAAAATTCTTACTAAACAATTAGATAATTTAAAATTAATATTATCAATATTTTTGCTAAATATATTATTAAACTTACCAGAGAATAATATATTGTATATAATACAATTATATCTACTTTTGGAACAATATCACAGTCTAAAAAATATCCATTTTTTTATTACAAAATCTAGTAGAATTGGAAAATCATATTTAACAAAATTAATTATTGATTGGATAAAATCAGAAAGAAAAACTTATCTATTAATAGCACCAACAGAAATAGCTACACAAAATATTAGAAGATTTACTATTCATTTTGCATTTAGAATAGTACAAACAGAATCAGGCTATCAATCATTGGCATTTTATGATCTTAAATTTAAAAAAAAAATTACAGAAAATTTAAGTATTAATTATAGATGAAATATCAATAGTTTCTGCTTCATTATTTAATTCATTTCTGATTTATTTGCTAAAATTCATAATATTAATATAGCATTTAGAGGTATCTGTATAATATTTACAGATGATTTGACATAACTTCTACTAGTAAGAGGTGAAGCTATATTTTATTCATCAGTATAGCAATTATTTTATCCATTATTTTTGTACAAATCCCAAAGATATAATGAAGATAATGAATTTTATAAAATTTGAAAGAAATTAGATTTGGAAAAATATCAAATGCAACCTGGATAAAACTTATAAAAAAAGCTACAAATTATAATAATAATCAATCTTTAGATTCATTATATTCATTATTAATAACAATATATATTGTTAGATATTGTGAAATATCAAAACAAATCAACAATATAATTTGCAACCTACTTCTAATTAATAATGAAAAATATTTATTAGCAGAAGCTATAGATTTTATAGAAGGTAAACAAATATCATCAGAACTTGTTCAAACAGAATTTAAAACAAAAATAAATATGCCACCAACAGTTAGATTCCAACAAGATGCACAAATTATGTATCTAAATAACTTATTAATAAAAGAAGGTATATATAACAAAACTATCAGTGTAATCACTAATATAGATAAACAATAACCAAGTGTACAAATAGCATTTTGTATATATGATGCAATTATTCAAAAATGGATTACAAAAGAAACATCCTACCTTATTTAGGGAGTCAACTTGCATCTAGAATACAGTTTTCATTACAAAACTCATTTTCTTTAACAATTCATAAAATACAGGATCTTACTTTATATTCCATTTCAATAGATTTTAGCCAATTATTTACATTTGATCAAGCATATACAGAAATTAGTAGATGTTCAAAATGGCAACATATTCAAATAATAAATTTAGATAAACATTCATTTATAGTAGATTCAAATGTAATTAAAGAAAATTTCTCATCTAAAAAAAAAGCATCACAACCACTTTTAATTTAATAAAATATTATAATCTATACATATGCAATATATATTCTAGCAAATTTAATGAAGATACTTATAAATATTAAATAAAATATATATATTACTTCCAAATATTAATTAAGTGGTCATGATTAAAAATTCAATTAATAATTAAAATTTAATTTATATAAATTTTATTTGAGTAATTACAAATGGTATTTTATAATATTTATTCTATATACAGTGTTACTAAATAAATATTTTATAAAGATTATAATAATATAATATAATTATAAAAAATAAAAAAAAATATTTAATAAATTTTAATTATTTTTTATCTATTATAA